AAAAACGGAACAACGGGACTATTTTTTGAAAGAGTGATTTTTTTGGAAAGTTTCAGCACTTATTCGAAGCTCTAATCTTCTAGTTTCTAATTAGCCTTAGACATCTGCAAAAAGTTGATTATGAAGAAAGTTATGAATGTTTGAATGTCGAAAACTCGCGTGTGCACAAAAACGGAACAACGGGACGATTTTTTGATTGAACATTTGCAACATTTCAAAACTTTTTAGGAAGAAAACAATTTGAATTTTTAAATTTTTGTATCTCATGAGACCGCTTTTGAAAAATATAACCTTCTGAATGGAGGGGTTTGTATTGTAACGTAATTGCTACAAGGTTTAGTTATTCAGATTAAAAAGGGAGATTTGAGAGATCGAAAAAAAATTTGGTAGGTTTCTGAAAGTAGAAATCTCTTACGATTAAACCATGCCTTGGTTTACGCAAAAATTTGGAAATTCCTTCTATTTAATGAATAAAACTTCATGTTGCCTCGATTCCCTCCTCTGAGCGAGACAAAGCGCGCGGATTGACCACGGTCCACCACTTCTCCATGTGACTGCCTATACATCATTGATGAGCATTAAATTATGTAAATGACACAATAGTTAATACGGGGGGAGGTGGTCGTAAAAATTTTGGAATGGTGCATGCAGGGTTGACCCGTGCCCTGTGATCAGGAGACAAAGACCAGGATGTGAACCTACGCTGACTGTTAGCGTTGCTACAGTTTTCAAGAGTCCCCGTGCGCCTTCCAGCTCTTCAGCAATGGACGGTTCTGCAAGCAAAAGTAACATCAATCGCTCCACAGCTGCAACGCGTTAGCGCGTGACGTTTCCGGCCGCAGTTGCATCGCTAAATCACATGCACAGGGTGGACTTCCCATTAATCAATTTTGAATGAGCTTCACATCAATCAAAACGAGTTGTGCAGGTCTGATAACCTGGACAGTGTATTGGTTTAGTATCGCCATAACTACTCATGTCATTTTTGTGAACTGATTTGTTAGGTCTTGAAGAAAATTCTTGCGCTTTTCGACCTTGAATTTCAAACGCTTTTACGCTTTTACCTCGACTCAACAGAACATTTGTGAATGAAGTAAAGACTGTTAGAATCCACGAACCTTCGCCAATAAGCAAAGGGGTCAAATTAACCAATCTCTTGAGCTCCAGTGTTCTGGAGAGGACCCCGGCAGAGGTCGTTACAGCCTAATGTTGGTTTTTGAAGCATAACTCTTTGGAGAAGCTATCCAGGTAGTCGAGAAAGTGACAAATTATAGGCAAAAGGTCTACCGAGTAGGATGTTGCAGAACTAATTCGTAGATCATTGTGTGCCACGTTTCTGTTGGGAGGTCATAGTGTGCCTCACTTACTATACAATTATTACCAAATCGGTACCCATTGAGTGAAGCATGACTCACTTTCTTCTATACAACTACCACGAAATCGGCACCCGCAATCTCACTTGTACTAACCAGGAAAGGTCATTAGGCCAACCCGGCCAAATGAAATGAGGTGCACATTTCTGTACGCAACATGAGACGCTGAACTCAAATCTGTTTTCATTATCTGCCGAACCTCTGGAAGGGTTCAGCAGATAGAAAGGTGAAGGGTTCTCTGGCATCCAATGATTTGAATTAACTAAGTTCGACCATTTGCTGTTCATAGAAAAATAACACAGTCCTACCATTCTCTCGTTGATCTTGAGGTGCGACAAAAGCCCTCTGGTAATTGAGAGAGATCCGGAGGTCAGCGGCTCGGCGAGACGCCTAATTAGGGCAGAATGGTTTAGTGCAGGAGAGATGGCCGCGATGAAACTCGAAAAAGCATAGAGAATTTTGTGACTTGAAATTCATATTAATGTAAAGCATTTTTCCGAGGATTTCAATGGTATACTTTTTGTACTGTTTTCTTTCCATGAAAAAATGTGAATTTCGCTCTGATTCAAGGCCTCGAAATTGACAGCCGGTGCTAGGTAGGAACTTCAAAAACTTTTCGTCAATGGGGTGAGCTCTGTAGAAAAGGAACGTTAAGTGACAAGGCTCAGATCCTATTAGTTTTCACTATACTTTGGCTCAAAGGAGCTTTTCCATGTAAAAATGACATTCAACAAAGCTGACCCACCTGGGATGAATTCGGTATCAAAATGACGAGCACCATCTGAAGAACACAACAGTCTCTTTTTTCACTTTACATAGGAGTAATATAATAACTTTATTACTCGCTAAATACTACTATTAATATCTGTTCCCCTCTGGTTATAATTATAGCGAGCGACGCTCGCTAATGAGTCAGCCTCAGGTAATTTGATAAATTTCATGAAAATGAAGCGGAAAATTCAGAGAACTCAATAGTCCTCTAAACCGTTGGATTCTTCGTGAGCAGAGCTATCCAGTGGTATAACTTTCGAATGACCTAATCCATTTGTTCACGAGTTATGGCGAGGCGACGGTTGCGACGGACTGACTGCGTCGCATTCGTCGATTGAACAAAAATTAGTAGCGGTATTGTATGTATGATGAAATTTGAAGCAACGTGAAACGTAGATTGGAGGTGTAGTAGGTAGCACTGCCCCCAGCATGAGATCCTGGTCCAAGTTCTATCCGAACTGTTCTGCCCAAAACTGTAACTTAGCACTTCCGAGCACGAGATTCTGCCCGAAGTTCTGGCTGACGAAGTGTTTTGCCCATAACTGTGACTGAGTACCGTTGCGAGCTTCGTATCACATAGAATCAAGGTAAGAAAAATTAGTGGAAGTTGATATGACATCAAACGGCTCCGCATACCGCGGCACAGCCCGGTAGCCAGGTCCTAAATTGAAGGATGCATTTCAGTCATTGAGTGCCGGGCAATTAGTGCTCCCATGTCAGGCTGAGGATAGAATGCTGACCTGCATGTACGTCGACTGGCACTCGAAACTCACTCTATAGAATGAATCGCAATCAAACGCTACAACGACTCTGCATTGAACAAGAATGCGTGGCGCCCTAAAGGAGTTGAAGAACGCTAAAAGATCCTCCTCTGTCTTTTACATCAACCAAATCTTTACGCTCAGAACAACTACAACTCTATGATTCCAAATAATTTATTTCACGAGCTCCTTATCCTGATAAAACCTTTGCTGACCGTTGTTGATTATTTTTACAAATGCGATAGTGCGAAACATTCCAATAAAACCCTTGTGAATGTTAGTGATTATTTTTTATTAAGGTTGAAAGTGTAAAGCATGATCACAAAGGTAATCCAACCGGTGCAATAGGAAAATTTCGTAGAAAACGGAAGCATCATATACATCTGAACAGCGGTAGTATTATAACATTCGGTTACACATATAAACCACATTAAGCTTTCGTTATACGTCAACATAACAATAGATGCCTAGAATGTTCAGTTAGAGGAATATCATATCAAACTTCAATACCACGAATACTGAGATTGAGGTTCTGGTACAGTAATCGTAACTGAAGTGAGCTCTATTTGCAAACGAGGATCACTTTTCATTTATAATAACTTCGTACGGCGGTCTCGTTTATTTTCACTTTCTGCTCGACTCCATAACGGAATATGCACGTGCCTTTTGTTTCATATTTGACGATCTGAAAATAATGCGGTGTTCGTTGATTGATTTCACTTGAACTATTTTCTGAAAGAGTTAAAAGCCGCACAAGATTGCTGAGCTATGAGATAAACGTTCGGCGCTGAACGAAACCCAGCCCTAATCGAGGTTTTCGAGCACTTTGTTCATCCATTGCACTGTCGGCCCATGAACCCGTTACCCTTTACCTATGGTACTTTTGGCAGATTCTATCAGTTTCCGTTCCCACACCTTCAACTGCTGCGGAACAGGGCAGAGGACAAATAAAAGCAAATGGTTCAGCTGAACCACGTCATGAGATTGGTAGAATGGTAAATAATTCATTACATTCTATCAGAAAACAAAAAACAAAAATATCATTCCAAATCAAATGCATTTACGAAGGCTCCTTGAGATCTTGATAAGAGGAGCATGTTCATTCAGAGACTCCCTTTTTACCAGGAAGGTCTTTCAGGGCGTGCCAAGCTTTTTGAAAACGGTCTTTTGCATGATATAGGGGCACATGCGGGAACCACAGAACCATGGTTCAATTTTTCCTGAACGGCCCTCTGAATACCAGAAAAGGGGGTCCCTAGTTCGATTCCTCGTGGTGACAAATTTTTGCATTTCGAGTTGACGTTCCAAAATTCGCGCAAAATGGAGTTAGCATGAATAATTAGTACCATATTCATGATTAGGACCGTCAGTAACCCTTACAAATAGACTTTGATTAACAACTGGTGAAAAAGTGTGACACCAC